TATATAGTACTGTCAAATTTTTTAAAATTTCTTTTGTTTCAATGGTTATTATCCCCTTTCTTTTCTTTTTTTTTTTTAATTGTGGTAAAATATATATAACGTAAGATTTGCCATTTTGACCATTTTAAAACATAACATTCCATGGAATTAATTACATTCACAATGCTGTGTGACCATCACCTTTATATATTTCCAAAACTTTTTGGTCATCCTAAGCATAAACTCGGTACCCATTAAGCAATCATTTCCTATTATTCCTTCCCCTCAATGTCTAGTAACCTCTAATCTACTTCTGTCTCTGAAGATTTTCTTTTTAATTTTTTTTTCTTAATTGACCCATGATAAGTGTATATATTTATGGAGTACAATGTGATACTTGGGCACATTTATGTGCAAGTGTGCAATAATCATATCAGGGTAATTAGCATATCCACCACCTCAAACTTTTGTCACCTCTTTGTGTTGGAAACATTCCAAATCCTCTCTACTAGCAACCTGAAGTTATACAATAATTTGTTGTTGACTAGTCTCCCTATAGTGCTATAGAACATTAGATCTTATTCTTCCTATCTAGCTACAATTTGGTATTCATTGACCACCCTCTCCCTATTCCCTCTCCTCTGTCCCCTTATCAGTCTCTAGTAACCACTATTCTACTCTCCACTTCTATGAGATCAATTTTTTTTAGCTAACACATATGAGTGAGAACATGTGGTATTTCTCTTTCTGTGCTGGCTTGTTTCACTTAACATAATTTTCTCTAAGCTCATCCGTGTTGCTACAAATGGCAGAATTTCATCCTTTTTAATGGCTGAGTAGTATTCCACTGAGTATATATACATTTTCTTTATCCAATTGTCTATTGATGGACATTTAGGTTAGTTCCATATCTTGGCTATTGTGAATGGGGCTACAATAAACATGGAAGTGCAGGTATACCTTTGACATATTAATTTTCTTTCCTTTTGATAAATACCCAGCACTGGGATCTCTGGATTGTATGGTAGTTCTATCTGTAGTTCTTAGAGAAACCTCCATATTGTTTTCCATAAAGGCTGCTGTAATTTACATTCCTACCAATAATTATATATTATTGTATAATTCTTATACAGAATTCCCCTTTCTTTGCAACCTCACCAGAACTTATATTCTTTTTGATAACAGCCATTCTAATTAGGGTGAGATGGAATCTTACTGCAGTTTTGATTTGCATTTCTCTGATAATAAGTGATGTTGAACATTTTTTCATATACCTGTTGGCCACTTGTATGTCTTCTTTTGAGAAATGTCTATTCAGCTCATTTGTCCATTTTTACAATTGGGTTATATGCTTTTTTTTTTTTTTTAACACCTGAATTGTTTGAGTTCCTTGTATATTCTTGATATTAATCCTTTGTCATATGAATAGTTTGCAAGTATTTTCTCCCATTCTGCATCAACCTGCCTATTTAGCCAGTCACCAAAATCCTCCTGATTCTACCTTTGGTAGCTTCTTCTTTCCCTTCCTTTCCTTCCTTTCCTTCTTTCCTTCCCCCCCCCCCCCCCTGCTTCCCTCCATCCCTCCCTTTATTTCTTTCAAGTATTTATTGAAAACCTACTATATGGCAGGCACTGTTCTAGAGATGGAGAATACAGCCATGAACATAACAAACAAAATCCATATCCCCGTAGTACTTATGTTTTTGTGGGGGGAGACATGAAAAACAGCAGCAAAATATATGGTTTTAAGTGCTATGAAAAGTAATGCAGACAAGGAGGATAATACAGGTGTATGTGCATGAGTGTATATTGGAAGAATTTTGCTATTTTAATTAGTGAATCTGGGGCAATAAGATTGGGGCAGAAGAAGAGCTCCCTGGGAGCAGAGAGCTAACTAAGCCTGGAGTAGAAGGGAGAGATACAGAAAGAGATTTTAAAAAAAAATTGGGAGATGTCAGTGTATAGATATAGTATTCAAAGTCATGAGAACAGATGAGATCACCAAGGGCAAGGATAGGAAAAAGAAAAAAAAGAGATCCAAGGATTTATCCTTGGGGTACTCCAGGGTAGGACAGGGAGATAAGAAGAAACTAGCAGAGGTAAATGAGAATGCCAGCTAGTAAGACGAATTAGTGTGGTTACATGTCCAGCCATGTTCAAATGCATGCTGCAGAATTGGTGGAGAGCTGTATTTAATCAGTGGTAGGGTTTTGTCAGAAAATTTCTACTACAAAGAGGAAGAAGGAACCCCAGAAAGTATAATGTTAGAAGCCAAGTGAAGAAAGAAAACCAAGAAGTCAACAGATAAAGTAAGGTGAGAGGTGAGAATTGACTGCTGGATTCAGCAACTTGAAGTCACTAGTGATCTTTGGTGGAGCAGGTCGGCAAGAAAGTCTGATTAAAGTGGACTCAAGAGAGTGTGAAAAGATATAATGTCTACATATTTTTTAAAAGGAGTTTTGCTCAATAAGGAAGCAGGAATGGAGCAGCAGCTGGAAGAGATATGGGATCATTAAAAATTTTTGTTTTATTTTGCTTTGACTTTATGATGGGAGGAATAATAGCATATTGTATTCTAAGAGGAATGATCCAATAGAGATGTGAAAATTGGCAGTAGGAAAACTGACAACTACAATGCCTTTGAGTAGTAAGGAAAGATGAGCTTTAGTGTCCAAATTCAGAGACTGGCCTTATCTAAAATAAAAGCAAGAGAAGTTTATCCATAACAATAGGCAGGGAAAGCTGAGTAAATGAGTGTAGATGTAGGTAGGAGAGGTATGTGTGGTGGTGAGAATATGTGGGCTTCTCTTCTCATGGCCTTTATTTATTTGTTTTTTTTTTTATTCAGAAACAGGAAGCTAAGTCAGCAGCTGAGAGAGAGAAACGAGATGGAGG